GGGGGGGGGAGGTTATTAGGTCTTGATGGCGAGGGGGGGGCGTGAAAGGTTGCATTTATATAGCGGTCGAGCGAGGTTTTCTTTATCTATATCTAAAGGCTCGATGAGGATCTTTTACCATAAATGCTTCCTTGTTTTCTAACAATGTGTATGAAAGGAATAAATGTATATATGACATGTTTGATGCGGAAATATGTTTGGAGTCCAGGCCAAATGGAGCCCATTGTTTTTGAAAAGTTACAAAATTGTTGAAGTTCCAAAAGAATCTAGAAAAAAACACCTTCTATATAGTTGTAGTCTAGGTGCTTGTAAAATATTATTGGGAAATAATGGAATTGGAAATAGAAAAAAAATGCATGCATTGTTTGTTAAAATTCCTAAAATAACTCACATGTTAAAGTACCTCCTAATTAATTTTAAAACACAAGTAGAATACATCTATAGCATGCATGTGGACATTTTTCTAGAATTTCATTAGAAAAAACTCAAAAAAAATTGTGGAGCCCACGCTCCAAAAACCATTGCTCGTGTTTGAAGAACTTTTATTTCTTTTGATTATTTTCTAATTATCTTTTAAAGCCAAGAAAACATGTTTCTTAATTGCAAGAGAGCGCATGCAGGATACGTATAGAAGAGTTGTCTTAGTTCATCTTGTTTCCTATTTATATTTAAAAAATCATGACCAAAAGGTTAGATATTTTTCCAAACAAGGAACACATTTTTTTCTTATTTTTTTATAATAACAAAAAAGATACATGCATGCATGTATAACAAGGATTTTTTTTCTGTTATTTACTCTTCTATTTGGAATGAAGGTTGAAGAGTTGTTACGAAGACATGACCAATTTTAAATACGAAAATAAAATGGTGTATACTCTTGCAAGAAAGAAACATGTATCTAATGTGTTTGAAATAGTTTGTTTTGTTATATATATATTTGTTTTTGAAATCAAGTCTAAGGCCTCCTTTGGTTCATAGGATAGGAATAGCGTAGGGACAAGAAATTCATAGGATGGGATGACATGTATCTCATTTCCTATAAGGAAAAAAATGTCATTTGATGCATAGGATAATTTTTTTCATTGAGTTTATGCTAAAAAAAATTCCTTTGAAATGTGAAGGATTGGTTCCTATCTTACGTAGGAACAGGAATCCATTCTTACAAACCAAAGGGCTTTAAAGGAATTTTTCCTATAAAAATTATATCCTTTAGAATTTCTATAAAATTCGTGTAAACCAAAGGAGGCCTAAAGGGTTGTTGATAAATCCCATTTAAAAAATCAAGGACAAAATGTTGACTATCTTCGTAGCAACAAAAAACGAAAACATACATACATCAGATATGTGTAAAATATGTTGCTTCATTTATTGTCTTATTTGCTCTTTCCTTTTGAATCAATCCTAATAGGATTGCATGAAAGTTTGATTGACACAATAAAAACACATGAATCTTCACAATGAGTATGGTGTGGATGGAAAGTTCCTATAAAATCTACTGCAATTTAATCATATGTAGTACAATATTGCATAGGAAAAATTACTATTAATTAGAATCCCCCAAAAGTCTTTAGCATAGTGAGGGATCTTTTGTTTCACAATAGAAAGGGGCAGCGCAGTGCATGTAACTTCTCATTGCGCAGGGTCCGGGGAACCTATGGCACGTAGCCTTCTTCTTTCTTTTTACTTATCATATGTGTTGGCTATGTTTGCCAATAAAAAATATTATACAATACTGATGAAACAAAGTTTGTTTTGTTTTATCTTACTTGCTCGTCTGGCTTGCAATAAGAACAATAGTTTAGGTGCACTGCAAGATAAAGAAACGTATACGAGACATCTCTAACAATCTTTGTTCCATTTAGTCTTGTTTGTTCTTCTTTTTTAGATTGAGCCAAAAGGATAGCTACACAGTAAGAAAAAGGAGCGTACACTACACATATCTAACAATATTTGTTTGATTTCGTATTCTTTGCTCTTCTTTTTTTAGACAGTCTTTGCTCCTTTGGTAAGAAAAAAGAGCATACACGACACATCTTCTTGCTTTTACAAAACAGTTGTATTGACCATGCTTGCCAACTAAAAAGCAATTTTTATAAGATCCCTCGAACAAAAGTTATTTTATTTGATCTATATTGTATTAACAAGAGCAAATGTTTAGCTACATTGCAAGAAAAATAAACATATACGAAACATGCCCAACAAATTTTGTTCCATCTATTCTTGTCTGGTATTCTTTTTTCAAACCGTGACGAAAAGGATAGCT